AGAGAAACACTGATTGGCTGCCTCCTGCACACTCCGCACTGGGGATCAAGTTCAAAACTTGGGCGTGTGCCCTGACCAGGAATTGAACCGGGACCTCTCAGTCCGTGGGACGACGCTCAATCCACTGAGCCACACCTGCTGGGCTGCATTAGAAATTTAAAATGGAGAACACTTTAGAATATTTAATTTATTTAAAAACAAAATGATAGACATAGTAACACGTTAACATCAATGACATTAAAAAGCTGTATTTTCTCAGAAAAAGGAATCGTGTTGTTTAATATTTTTTGCAAATCTATATAATGTCTGGCTTAGTAGAAGATAGCTTGATTCCCATACCTGCTATTGCGTTTGATGTGTGGCGATTTGTTGTTCTGGTTGAAGAATATGAAGAAAGTCCAGCCTAGCCCAGATATGCAGATAAAAAAGGAGGAGGTATTAAGAACCTTTTCAGTTAGTATGGGCATTCTTCTTTGATGCCTCATCAAAATCTTTAAAGTAGTCCTTTCTTAAAGATTTGTTGCAATGTGAAATCTGGAACTACACCAATGAACTTCTGTGCTCTGTTCATCTAAATCCATTGGTTTATCTTGCACTTTGAACGGATCCTTTTACCCATACATGATGGATTTTGTAACATTGTGCATTGGCCATGTGGGGAAATTGGTGTGCTGATTTATGTAGCTCTTCCAAATTTTGACATATTTTATTATACAATCTCCAAACTCCACACTTTTTATTATCACCGCCGAGCTCAACAGAAAAGTCTTGAAGTACTGGGAATCAGTCCAGCTCATGGCAGAAAGCATCTGAATTGACAAGTTGTTTAAAAATTCAAGTTTTTTGCCCTGGCTGGTTTGGCTCAGCGGTTAGAGCGTCGGCCTGCGGTCCAGAGAGACCCGGGTTCGGTTCCTGCTAAGGGCACGTACCTCGGTTGTAGTTTGTCCCCGGCCCTGGTTGGGTCATGTGGGTGGCAGCCACTCGATGTGTCTCTTTCATATCAATGTTCCCCTCTCTCTTCCTCCCTCTCTCTCTCCTGCTCTATCTGAAGATAAATGAAAAAAAAAATTCAAATTTTCTCCCTGGCCAGTGTGGCTCAGTGGTTAGAGCGTCAGCGAAGGAGTTTCAGGTTCAATTCCCAATCAAGGGCATGTGCAGGTTCAATCCCTGGGTCAGGGTGCACTCGGGAGGCAACCAATCCATCTGCCTTTCCACATCGATGTTTCTCTCATTCGCCCTCCCTCCCTTTCACTCTCTCTAAAAATCAATGGAAAAAATATCCTCGGGTGAAGATTAAGAAAAAAATTCAAATTTTTGCTTGAAGGTTTGAATGTTTTATCAGTGGCTACAATACTGTTAGTTGTTATCCTTGAAATGACGGGCTCATCTTGTTCATTAAAAGAAAAAAAATTTTTTTAATTGATTTTTAGAGAGAGAGGAAGGGAGAGTGAGAGAGAGATAGAAACATCAATGAGATGGAACATTGATTGGCCGCCTCCTGCATACCCCCCACTGGGGATTGGGTCCACAACCTGGGCATGTGTCCTGAACGGGAATCAAACTGGCAACCTCTTGGTGCCTGGGTCGACGCTCAACCAGTGAGCCACACCAGCCGGGCTCATCTTGTTCATTTTTGACAAAATGCATGCCCAAGACCAGTCTGAAGTTTGTCAGGCACTCTTCTGATTAAAAATGGGGTTCCATGAAGAGAGTGGCGAGTTCATTTTGCACATGTGCTTTTTCTTGAGACAATCATCATGCTCCAGTGCGCAGCAGAAATGATTTATCCATACTTAACATTTCATCACATAAACTATTAAAATGATCTGTTCTCAAGGGTCAAGATTTAAATAATTTCATGAACAGATCAATGACATTCTAAAGTAAAACTGGCTTTTTTTCCTCTCCCTATCGTGCATGGTCGTGAAGAATGTGAGTACTGTGAGTATAGCTTGTCCTTATTTATGCTCGGGCACCATCAGGTTTCATCACCGTTTCTTTTGCGCCATCACTGCAAATGTGAACTCAGTGAAAACGTCAAATAGCATTTTAGTGTCATGATGAAATTCTTCTGGACTTTGCAGGTTTCCTGAAAGGGTCTCAGGGACCCCAGGAGTCCACAGACCACACTGTTAGAACTGACAGTTGATTCTAGGAGCAACCCAACATGCTTCCAATGAACTCCCTTTTTCTAAGATCAGCCAGAGTTGGTTTCTGTTGCCTGTCATCTATGTTTCATGTAAAAAATGTCATGTTTGCTCTGGCCGGTTTGGCTCAGCGGTTGGAGCGTCGGCCTGTGGTACAGAGAGACCCAGGTTCGGTTCCCGCTAAGGGCACGTACCTCGGTTGCAGTTTGTCCCCGGCCCTGGTTGGTCGTGTGGGTGGGAGCCAGTCGATGTGTCCCTTCACATCGATGTTTCTCTCTCTCTCTCTTCCTCTCTCTCCCTCCCGCTCTATCTGAACAAAACATGGAAAAATGTCCTCGGGTGAGGATAAAAAAAAAATAAAAAAATAAAAAATGTCATGTTTATGGTTGGTTGAATCAAAATGTTTAAGGAACTCTAATTTAAGGGCATTTTATAAGTAAGTCCTTGGCTGTGATGATTTGCAGAGTAAATAATTAAGAAGAATGAAAGATTCTAAACTTTTAATTTTCTAAAAATAAACTTCATGCTTTCTATATTCACGGTATTAAGTCATTGTTACATAGTCAAACAAATCTATGCCGATCCATTTATTGTGGTAAAAGAAGGGTTAGGGTACTAACTCATATTTTCTCCTTTCTTAGGGCTGCTTCCAGTGACCTTTTTGAGCTAAGTATGACTGTCCTCATTTTAGATATTAAAAAACAACACTTGAATTTGGTGGTTAAGACCTTGGCCAAGGCCACTCGGTGGTCAAACCTCTCATCTTGAGTGAGAGACTCACAAACCCAGTCCCTCTTTGCTCTACCACATACGAATTTCTGATAAGGGCAAAAATATGAACCTGTAAAGTCAGATGTTCATGCTGTACAGGCCAGTGCTGCAAAATCATGGACATCAGACATGTTTCATTAGGAATTTCTTTTATAAATTCTATCATGCTGGCATGATAATGCTGGCTCTGTACCAAAGCAACATTTTTGACATGCCGTATTTTCAAGTTGGAAGAGACTTGAATCATGTGATCTGTCCAGATTTCTCACCACTGGAGCATGCGCAAATAGTCAATGTCTATTTCATTTTTTTCTTATTGTTGAAAGTACTACAGATGTCCCACTTTTCCCCCCATTGATCCCCTCCTCCCTACTGTCAGGGTGCATTTCAGACAGAACTTCCTGGGTGATGACTTCTGACAACCTGATTATTGTTCAGTTCATGAAATCACAATGTAGCACACAGAGTGGCTACAATGTAGCACACTGAGATGGCCTGAAGAATCCCCCTCTTCCTGATATTCACACCCTTGTGAAACCCCTCCCCCTGCCTGCAGACAAGATGTGTGATTTGTCTCTAACCAACAGAACCTATAAAGCAAAGGTGTTGGGATGTCACTTCTGTAATTAGGTTTCATAAGGTAGTGACTTCTGTCTTGCTAGCAGACTCTCTTTTGATTCTAGATGTGCACTTTCTGACGAGGCAAGCTGCCATGTCAGAAACTCACATGATAAAGAACTGAGGGTGGCCTGTGGCCAACAACCACTGATGAGGCTTGGAAGGAGGTCCTTCCCTACTGGAGTCCCCACTAGTCTTCAGGTGAGACCCTCAGCCCCAGCTGGCACTGTGCACCCTTGTGAGAGACCCTGAAGCAGAAGGCCCAGCTAAGCTCAGATTCCTGACCCACACCAACTGTGAGATAATATACGTGTGCTGTTTTAAGCCGGGAAGTTTCGGGGTAATTTGTTAGGCAGTTATAGCTAACCAATACACTCTACTATCTTTATGTATCTGTCTCTTTCTCGGTCAGGTCCAGGAGTGAGCTGCTTATGGCCATTGAGTCCTTGTCATGTGTATTTATTTACCTGTTGACCCACCGCTGGAGAGTCTCCTTTCAGGATCCATCCCCAGAGTGAAAGGTGGAACCTGAGGTCCCCAGTGTGCTTACTTTGCAAAGTGCTCCAGGAAGGTACTCTGTGCTCTCCCTCCATCGAATCCCACCTTTTCTAGCCTCTAGAAACCTCTAGAAACACTAGAACCTTAACTCGAGCATCATTTAGCTTGCCAATCAGAGTCAGCCAAGCAGTTATTCCCCGGGGGTCTGAAACTTCAGCCTGGGAGGGAGCCTATTAGTCCCCCCCACCATCTGCTGTCCACAGCAAAGTTATGAATGCAGAAACGCCCATCCCAATCCAGTTCATAAACGGAGGTGCAGAATGTCTGAATAATTGAGGCCATGAGATAAGAAACTCTTTTTGACAGAAAGAGGGAAATTGGGGAGATACTGAAATGTTGGCAATGCACAGGGCATCGAGCACCTCACTTCACTCCAGAGGGTTCAGTTTCCCCCTCTGTGAAATGGGAGTTGACCTCCGGGTCACACAGTCTTGTATTCTTAGCCTGGCACAATCTGGGCTGCTGTGGGCTGGCTCTCTGGGGCTAAATCAGCTATTAAATGAGAATGATAGAAATACGTGTCTCCTGAATGGGTTGTAGGATTAAATGAAATAAAACGGAAACCCCGCAGCACAGAACCTGCCCAAGAGGGAGCCTGGCCATTATTCTCAAAGGGGTCCGAGGTCCTTAGGACGATTGGGGCCGAGGGTGAGCGGAGCGCAGCCCGCACCCCGGCCTGGTGGCCTGCCCCGCCCACGTGGGGCTGCGGCCCGTCGAATGACTCGGTGCAACGTGTAGGTGGCGGCGGCGGCGGCGGCGCGGGCTCTTCCGGGCGCCGCAGTTTCCTGCCAAACACCGCGCAGCCGCCTCGGCCGCAGGAGCCCCGGGTGCAGGCCTCGGCGCGGGTGCGGGACCCGGGCTTAGCCGCGCGCCCTGCCGGGCACCGCGCGCCCGCCTGCCCGCACCATGCGCGCCGCGCCGCTGTTGCTGCTCGTGCTCCTGGCCGCGCCGGCCGCCCGTGCCAGCCGTGCCCAGTCCGCCGTGGCGCCGCAGCCCGAGCGCCCCCCGCCCCGCTCGGGGCCTGCGAACACCACTCGGACCGCGTCTGGGGACGCGCCAGTGCCAGGGGGCGGCGGCGGCAGCTCCAACAGCAGCGGCGACGCCCTGGTGATTCGCATCTCCAGCCTGCTCCGCGACCTGCCCACCCTGAAGGCGGCCGTGATCGTGGCGTGCGCCTTCACAGCCTTCCTCATCGCCTGCCTGCTGCTGCGCGTCTTCAGGTGGGTGCAGACGCCCCTCTTCTTCCCCCGCGGGTCCACCTGCACCGCCCACCCCCGGCTGCTGCCCGCGCCCGCGCCACCTGCGCGCCCAGCTGCTCGGAATGCGCGGCTCTGCTCCGCCCAGGTGCACCAGGTGCCTTGGGGTGCTCCATCCACCCCGCTCCCTGCGTTGCCCGCCCTGATGCCTGGGTTCGCCTGGTTTGCCTGGGAACGTTTTAGGAATCTTCTCCTCCTTTACCCATATACATATAAAATAAATATTGAATTCCAGTTCCCTCGAATTCCTTGTGAATGCGTAACACTAACAACAGCGCTCCAGCTGTCTATGGATAACATTGCACGGAATTTATTTTTATACCCATTTCACAGATGAGGAAAAAAAATTTCCCGCGAGGCACAATAGTTTATCCAAGTAAACTCAGTGGAGAGGGTAGAATTTGAACCCGGGTCCGTCAGACTTCAACCTTACCCACCTGGCCACCCCTCCCTTCCTTCTCTGAGGCTCCCTTACCCCCAATCTGCCTTTTTAAAAATTTTCCTTCCTTGTGCTACCATAAGAAGCAGGGTGTGGGATGTGGGGGTGTCTGCAGGACGCCTGTTGGAGGTTCACTTTGTGCCCAGCCTGGGAGCTGGGCTTCAGGACGCTTGGTGACTCCTGGTGGCCTCCTTTCTGTTAGTGGGGGACACAGACAACTCGACTATGTTGCTGCGTGACTGAGTTGGCCCAGTGAAGATTCCACGGGCCTAAGGGATCCTGGAGAAGCTTTTGTAGGTTGCTCATGTTCAGGGAGAAAGTGTCTGGGAAATTGGGAAGGATGCCCAGGTCCCTGGAGTAATGAGATGGAGAGAGCTACATTGGCTGCAAGGCGGAGATTTTCCCCTAATAACTGGGAAATCCTGTCTTGTAGGAAATGAACCAAATGTGTTCTGTTACTCCGGCGGGCCACTGTGTAATATAGAGGTGTGTGTGTGTGTGTGTGTGTGTGTGATTACTCATTGCCCATTCCCTCCCCTTCCGAGTGTACACAGTGTGCTAGGGTGTTTGATCAGCTGTTGGAGGTTTTGGGTCAGGGGCTTGCTTTCCCTGTGGGAGCATTTTCATCAACAGGAGCCGAAACCAGACCTGGAAGGGCAGGGTGGGGATCTAGCTGTAGGTTTGCTGTTGCGGTGTGACTTTGAGTCAAGGTGTTTCCTTGTGGGTCTATAGGATTAAATGCTAATGGACCTAAGAAAATGGAGAACGGGGAACTGTGCCCCCCTCTCCACCCCTCCATCCTGTGCTGGTCTCCTTCATGTGGGAATCGAACTGTCCCCCTCTTCACCGCAGCCTTCCCCCTGCCCATGCTTCCCTGCTGACCAGCCTCAGTGGCTCCCTGTGGCCGTTACCTGGGCATGGCATTCGGGGCCCTTACAAACTGACTCCAGCCCACCTTGTGGCCATCAGCCCTCCCAAGCCTCCTGTCTGTCACCTGCTCCTTTTCTTACAGTCTACAGTGCTGGCTTGTGCTTCTCCACTCCTGGGCTGGGCCATTCCTCCTTCACGCCCGCTATGACTGCATCCCAGCTTCCATGCCATTCCTCTGTAGTCTCCCTGGACATCCAAGTGAGGCTAAGGCTTCCTTTTCTGGCCTCCCCCAGCCCTGGCCTTGTTCATCCTCCATACAGCCCTTCTCGCGGCTGTGCGGGGGGCTGGGTTTACTGTCCAGTTCCTATCTTAGACTATCTTAGAGACAGCCCTGTGTCTCCATCCGCCTCACTGGCCTGGCATTCAATGCTCCATCATCCTTCCCCGATGCCCTGATTGTGCATCTGGAGTGAACGCTGGTCCTAGAGCAACTCTGAGCCTGAGGGTTTAAACATCTAGCTCAAAATAGGCCTCTGAGCCCACAAGGCGGTGTACTTTGAAAGAAGGTATTTGAACTATTTTGCCAGTCTGCTCCTTATTAGCCAGGAGTGGGGGGGAAAGCAGGCAGCATGCGGCCAGATGTGAGAGCCCTGCGCCGTGTGTCTGAGTGGAAGAGCAGGACCCAGGCCTGGCAGGGATGGGTCCTCACTGGCTTGGGGACAGAGTATTGGGCAAAGGTTCTGACTCCATAGAGAAGCTGGTTATCCATGTGATCTGCCGCCTCTTCCTGGGAAGGCGGTCTTGTTGCGGTGAGTTCCCAGGTGGACAGCTGCCACTCTGGCTTCCGATGTGGCAGGAACTATGGCATTTACAGCTGGGAAGGGCCTGGATGGTACACAGTCCCCATATGCTTCCTGGCAGAGGAGAGAGCTGTATCTCAGGGCGGGAGTGAGCCATCTGTTGGAGTCTAGAGCACTCTACAAGTCTGTGGCGGAGGCAGCCCAGTGCCCCACCCGCTGCCCGGTGGTCTGCACTGTGGCCATACTCCTTCCGACGGTCTTCTGCAGGCTCAGTCCATCGGGTTCCCAGAGGCCTGCGGGGCACCCTTCTCTGCTGCCCCCTCTCCCAGCCTCTTAGCAGGCGGTTACCTCTCTTGGCCATTCCGCCTCCCAGCCACCCCAAGGCTGCTCACCCAGGCCCACAACCCTTTCACCGGTGGAGGCTTCTCCACCTGCCAGCACATCTGCTGTCCTGCTTCCCGACTTTGCTTCTGAACCGTAGCAATAGCCGTAGCAATAGCCTTCGGTCTGGTGCTTCTGCCATCAACTCTGCCCCTGCTCCTGCCCTCTGCCCTCTTCTTAGCATGTGGGCAAGCTTGCTCTTCACCACCAGGGCCTTGCTTCCCTCCTGAGCCCCTGTCTTGGCTCCACCCGCTGCTCCAGCCCTTCTGGACTTCCAGGGGTTCTCCAGAGGGGGCCTGGGGCCTGCATGTTCTGCCCTACTCCGACCCGCTGCCTGCAGTTCCCTCCGCCACCAAGAACACTCTGCCAGCTCCTTGCTGTTTGCCCGCCTGCATGGCTTCCTGTGAGAAGCTACCCTGCCAGCACCCCCCGTCCCCCTCCCCCCCCCGCCCCATCCAGCGCTCCCAGAACACACTGGAGTTTTTAATTTCCTACGTGGAGTCAAGAGTGTCACTGAACATGTCCCTTTGCCGTAGGAGGCGGAGGGATCCCAAGGGCAGGGCTGGGCCTTAATCATCTAACACCTACTGTGGCTACAGGCACCAGCTGGCTTCTAATAAAGATATTTTTAGCAAATGAATGTTGAACTTCTAAGTAGTTTACATCGCCGATGCTCTCAGGATGTCCTCTGTGACGAGATGCCGGGTTGATACTAGAAACCTTTGAGGGAGGAATTTGTTTGAAGGGTGGTCTTTCATTCTCTTAGCAGTGTAGATAAAGGAGGAGAAGTGTACTATTATTACTTATAAAGTGGCAATGCTAGCCCATTTGTCTTTTTCCCTGAAGGAGTCACTTTGGCAGACAATAGATAAAATGTGGATCCAAGGAAACTTACAATTAGAAGCAAACAATGTGTATTGTAGTGAAAAAAACAAACAACTTTAACCAAGCAATTCCATTCCTAAGGCACACACGTTTTTCACTGTGATACATATTCTTTGCTTCTAACTTTATTAATTAGGAGAGGAAGCAAAAATGCATGGGCAGTGACATTCAGAACAGGTGTATCCGATGGCAAAAGGTTTAAATAACCTAAGTATCCAACAATTGGTTAAAGAAATTATGGTAATCCTTCTACTGGACTACTGTATAGCTGTTAAAAATAATGGTGTTGCTCTAATACTCACTATATATTGTTGAGTGGAACAGGTTATAAAACACATGTTTAGTGTGAGCTCATTTAAATAAATAAATTATATTTATTTATTATTTTTTAATTTTGTAATCATCACTCGAGGATATTTTTACATTTATCCTCAGAGAGAGCAGGAGGGAGGGAGGTAGGGGGGAGAGAGAGAGAGAGAGAGAGAGAGGCATCAATGTGAGAGAGACACATTGATTGGTTGCCACCTGCACGACCCCAACCAGGGCCAGGAAACTGAGGCACGTGCCCTTGGCTGGAATCGAAATCAGGACTCTCTGGTCCGTGGGCTGATGCTCTAACCGCTGAGTTAAACTGACCAGCTAAATAAATTATATATGTGAATGTGCAAATCAATCAATGTGTGTATATGTATGTGTACATGTGAATGTGTAGATTATTTATTATGTCTTTATTATTCATGATACATTTCTACACTGTCTGAATTTCCTTAAAATGGACATCGACTCATTATTTCTCTCCCTGTCTGTATACTCAGCTCCTTCCCACATCCTTGGGTGTGTCTTCCTGAGGACTTGGATAAGAGCATCCAGAGCCCTGGCCGGTTTGGCTCAGCGGTTAGAGCGTCGGCCTGCGGTCCAGAGAGACCCAGGTTCGGTTCCCGCTAAGGGCACGTACCTTGGTTGCAGTTTGTCCCCGGCCCTGGTTGGTCATGTGAGTGGCAGCCACTCGATGTGTCCCTTTCACGTCGATGTTTCTCTCTCTCTCCCTCCCAATGTGTCCGAACAAAAAATGAAAAAAATGTCCTCGGGTGAGGATTAAAAAAAACAACAAAGAGCATCCAGAGAGTACACTCAGGAGTGGGATTTCTAGGTCCCGGGGTGCACATACTCGATGTCCTTGGGTATATGCCAGTTTACCCTCCCATCTGCAGTGCCTGTGGGCTCTTAGGTCCTCCCATCACATCCAGTACTTATTAGTATTATTAGACTTGCTAAGCTTTTCCAACCAAATGGGTATGATTTGGTGTCTCTCTGCTTTGTTTTGCCTTTCCCCATTTTCTTAAATTTTTTTTTTTTCTTTATTGACTTTAGAGAGAGGAAGGGAGAGGGAGAGAGAGAGAGAAACATTAATAAGAGAGAACATCGATTGCTTGCTTCCCACACGCACCCCACTGGGGATCAGGCCCACAACCTGGGCATGTGCCCTGACCAGGAATCGAACCAGCAACCTCTTGGTGCGTGGGTCGACGCTCAACCACTGAGCCACACCGGCCAGGCGCCTTTCCCCATTTTCTATGGAGGTTGAGCAG